CAGACCTCAAATCCCAATCAACCCTTGCAGTTTCGCACAGTGTTGAGAATCTACTAGCTGTATTTAAAGAAAAATGGAAAAGTTATTTCTAATTCGGTCCTTCTAAGAGTATTATAAAATATAAAATGTTACTTGCTCCTAGTACCCATTTTATTTTGAAATACTATTCTTAAATTTTAAAATTATGTCATCAATATTTTTTACCAATATAGGAGTTGCTACTGTCACTTAAGAAAATCTGTTTGTTATGGAATTAAAGTCACAGAATTTTACAGTTTTGGGTTTTTTTGATATATGCTGTACTTGTATATGTGTCTCTAAAATATGGTCTGATTGTTATAGGTCACAGTTTCTTTACAGCAATACAAAAGCATGCTTGGATGTGTACCCATGGATTCACATCACAGCTTCAGCTCTCTGGTGCTATGCACAGCAACCTGGTTGGGAAAACTCCCTCTCTCTTTCTCCTGTGGTAAATCTGCACTTGAGACCCTTTACCTATAGTTTTTATACAAGCATTTTCATGTAAATTATCCCTGTTGAAGTTTTTATGGCTTTATAGGTGGGAGGCTTATGCATTTAAAATGAAATAGAGTTTATTCCCTAATACATGTCACTTGGATGGTGAACTGTTGTTCACTTAATATATATGATGTGCACTTGTGGTTTGTTTCTCCAATAATCAATTTCTCCCATCAGTAAGATTATTCCAAATAAACTATAGCACACCTCTGCTAGGTCTGAATTATATACTTCTTTTTTTATCTTATTACCTCTAAAGTTCTACATGTGAACTTACTGTTTGCAGCAAAAACTAATACCTACTGTTCTTAATTCTTGCTTCTGCTCTGCCATAATGGGAAAAGAAGTAATCTTAGACATCATTGCAAAGTCTTAAGGGAGTAGAAGTCGGCCTTTGTCATAAAATCTGCATGTTAATAGATCAAAACTCTTCACTATCCCAGTGTGACTGGAATTTTCAATAGAACACATGTGGAGGAAAATAGGACACAACTACTAGGAAATTATCAGCTGAAAATGGGTTATTGATTTGAACTGCAGTCAAACATGATTTGGTTGTCTTTCATCTAATTTTGAACTATCTTCTGTGGTGGACTCCTGAGTCCCTATACAGACATGTTTTCAAACTGACTTACTTAAGGTTAACGTATTCTTAATGTAATAGTTTTGCCTTATGATCTACCAATAGTTGTTTGCCAGTGTAAAAGGCAGCATATCAGGGTATCTTGGTTGTTCAACACTGTAGGAGACCGAAGTGTTCATTTCAGGCTGGCATGTTAAATGGATAAGCACAAGGATATTACCCACGAATTTTTGAACGATTGAGGTACAGAGATGCTGCCTAAATGGCAAATGTAGGTGCTTAATTTTGACACTTAGAGTATCCAAAATTCATTTAAATGCATGTGCTCTTTTAGTGTCAAACATTGCTCATAAACCTATTTAGCTGATCAAATGTGAGGTCTGGGCACGCTGAAGCAGTCTGTGATGGCACAGGGTAGGCAGGTGCCCTGGCTTTGGTCTGCTCTGTCAGAGTGTGCCAGAGGGGTGTTCCATGCTGTGCAGCACAGTGCAGGTGATGCTCCCTGAAAAGAGCTCAGGTGTACTCCAATCTGGTTTTTTGTACAGTTATTCCAGTAAGTATAAGGTGAAGTAGTGTGTAATGGGACAACATTGGCTATAATTGTTGCTCAGTTTTCCCTTTTATTTTCTGTAAAGAGAGTTTGAAATCCAGTAAAGTCAGTGTGGGATTACCCTGAAACACTGGCTAAATCTTGCTGTTATGCGGCTTCCTATTGCAATCCTAACAGCTACAGTCTTTTGTTTTGCAAGATTAATGTCAAGTGGCAAAACTGATCTTGGAAATGGAAAGCATGAATGAATACTATTTTTTTTAGAATAAAGGACTACAGAAGAAAGGGCATTTCTGGTATTTGAGAGAGGTAATCCTGGGTTTGGCATAAGATGGCATAGGTTCAGAGAGCACATATTTGTGTAATGTTATTATATTTTCTCCATATAACTTACCACTAAATAAAAATTGGTTTAAGAACAAACATCTGTGGCAGTACTGTAGATTGCTTTGCATCCTTAGAAACATCTCAGGGCTTCCTTGATGCTACATTGTAAGCTTACAGACAAAATAGATCTTGTAAATTGTTCATTATAAAATCATGAAACTTAACTAATAGCAAGAATTAAATTGTTCTTTTAGTTAAATGTTATGATCTATCTTTTTTACTGCCTTCAGTGCATCAGTATTCCTCTGAAATCTTTGCTTCTTGGTTATGCATTTCCCCAGGTACACATAGAATGCTCATCTCTAAGATTCATCAGTCTAAAACTTCTCTCCAACACATTTTTTTAAAGAAATTAATTTAAATACAGTATTGTGCTTCATCTAGATAAGATTTTATATCCACATGGAAGAAGTTTGCTCAAAGGAAAAGACTCATGAGTATTTTTCTACACAATTCATCCCCCCAGTTATTTTTGGATGGAGAAAGTTGAAGGTTGTTTCTCTCTAGCGAAAGAAAGAAGATCCTTCTGGTTAGAAAAGAACATTCAAATTTGTTTGATTATGTTATCTGTCTGCTGTCTATAATATACAAAACAAGTTGTTTTCATTTATACTAGGTTATTTATATAAATTATTTGTAGATATACATGAAAGTACCCTTGGACTTCTGGAATTTGATATGACAGTCTCCTACAGAAATGTGTTTATTTGACTGTAGTGTTTGTTTGACTTCAGTGTCTGTGACTTATCTTTTTCTTTCAAAGAGCTGTCAAAGTGTAAGTTGTGTGAAGGGCTTTTTTGGGGTTTTTTTGTCGGTTGGTTGGGGTTTTTTGAGTCTGTTTTGTTTTTAAAGAAATAATGTTAGGATCCTTTAGTTTACTCTTGAAGATTTGAACCACAGCCTTCTTTTTATTCCATGCTTCCTTCTTTCTAAACTTTGTGCATATTAAACTGGTTGTTTTTCTTATTCTCTGTTGTTTCCCTTTAGCAAGACTTGTATTTCATCAGCATATCCTTGTCCCACTTCCTTACCACGTGCTTCTTCAAATTGAAGCTCATTTATGGTAATACGGTGCATATTGGAAGTGTAGGCTCCTTATCTCTGCTGACAGGCAAACAAAGGACCCCTTAATACTTTTCACACGTGTTCAAACTACAGCTATAATCACATTGAAGGGGAAAATAGAGTCATTAAATTGATATTACATGTCATTATTTTATCTTATCACATCAGCCCTCAGCAATTTACCCGACTTAGGATAATGGGGACCAAAATGGGTCTAATTAAGGAGCAGTGTTCTTGTTTATTTTAGAATTTCCAAGTGTCTCGTAGGTGACAAAATAAAATCTAATTATTTTGATATTTTATTAAGTGGTTTGTCAGCCATTATATAATTACTTCATCTGACAATAAAAAAAAGCAATGTGAAAATTATAGCTATCAGGCAGGTAAAGCCTGTTGATATTTTTTGTGAGAACAACAATTGCAATGTAAGTCTTGAGGAAAGAGAAACAGTACTGTGAGACTGCAGTGAATGTTGTTTTTCCTACTGTGTACAATTATATGTAATTAGATCTGTCCTTTTTTTTATTATGTTGTCTCAAAAATTAATTCTACCTATCTAGGTACTGAATGAACTTGTAAATAAGATAGCAAGATCAACATAGTCTGAAGAAATAATTAGTAACAATTTAACAAAAATTGTTCTGTTCAGGCTAAATCAACAGTAATGGAGATGAATAAATGGGTGGAAACCTTAAGTAATTACAAATCCTTTAAATTATTCTTGAATTAGAAAGCAGGAAAAAAGAACAGACTTAATTACTTTTATAGATTTGTTAAAAGAGAACTTTCTGAATTCACTCTTTGTTCTTTCTTCCCTAGAATACACTTTTTTAGGCAGCTGGTATTTTGTTTCCTGTACCTTGTTGGACTTTTCAAGCAGCTTGGTTAGCTCAGCTAGACATGCCAACCCACATACTCTGGTTTGATTTTTTCCCCTAAAAATGCATTATAAACATTACTGTGAAGAAAGAGACTTCTTATTGTGTTTACTAACTTCTGTACTCTGGTTCAGACTGCTTATTTTTGACACAATTCTTATTTTTTGCATCAATATAAGCAGGAAATGCCATTGTTCTTTTTGATGTTTTATACAGTCAAGAGGAACTTTTAAGAAATACTGAATTTACCTTTGGTTAATGTAAATCTATCAGTATGTTTAGCCTGGGCATGTAATTAAAATTTTTTTTAAAAATCTAATAGTCTTAATTTTTATTCTCGAGCACCATAGAAAGTTCTACTTTGACACGTGACTATAACCGTCTAGATTGTACTTTTTGTTTACTGTCTTTAATTTTAATTACAGAAGTATTTTCTTATGGACTTCTGATATGTATTCCAGTATCTTTAAGAGATATGGTATATTGGCAGTGTTTTTTCTATACTTGTAAAGTATAGTGTTTCAGAAGAGCTACTAGCTTTATGATGCATCATGAGGAAGAGAAATCCTCAAAGGGCGAAGTGATGTCATGATTGACTCTAAGGATACTATCAACTAAACTAAACTTAAGCAAAATGAATTGGAAAGCAGCTAGGTGGTACCCTATGGATCACCATGGAAATGCAAAGGTCAGAGAACCTTAAATTAGGGAGTACTGATGAGACTTAGGGAGCTCTCAAAGCTGAGCCCTCTTTTGGTTTTGGTATTTTGGTTGTCTTGACCTTGAGAAGCAGCTTTAGAAAGATTCTGCATTAAAGCACTTGCAAATTGACCGAAACACTTTCTTCACATAAACTATTCTGAGTTATTACTGAAGAAGACCATACTCAATCAAAAGCTATGAATGACTGCTTTCTCAGTTAGTTACTTTTGGATTTATAGACCAGTGACAGATTTATTCAGTCTTTAAAATAAATGGATGAGTTAATTTTGTTTAACCTCTCTCCCTTCTTTAGCTGGAAAGGCAACTACTGCTGCAGAACCAGATGAGAGAGAGACAAATAGCCATGCAGATTGCCTGGACACGGGAATTTCTCAAATATTTCAGGACATTTTGTGGACTTGCTGCTGTAGTTTTAACAACTGGGTATGAAGTTTATTTCCTAACAGAAAGTATAAATATATTACATTTCTGTTTCTATATGGTTGGATCTTCCTTTTGCATTGTAACAAGTAGGGTTTTTTTAATCCAGTAATAGCTCAGAGATTGATCAAATGACAAAGGGGCTCTGAATTCTCTCTGCTTCTGGATGTGTTTTGGTTATGTCTGTACTTACTTAAAAGCAGAGATGTGAGCTCAGAAGAAAATAATCCATCTGAAGTACCAAAAGTTCAGAGTAAAATAAGAGTTACGTATTGAACAGGAGAGATTGTCTAAAAGCCATGCTATTTTCTTTCTGTACCATGATTTAATGAACTATTAATGAGCAACAAGTCCTCCATCTGGGTTTTCTAATGCAGTGAACAAGTGGACAGATTCTGAAGTCTATTTACTTGAAATTTGAATCAACTGACCCAAGGGGGGGAAAATCCTGGCTAATGAAGCTGTATTGCATAGGCAAGAACTTGCCTTGCAGGACTTTTGTTTGATAACATGTTTTTCTCGTGCTGCAACATGATTAGGGGGAATGTAGGAAATATTTGTGGGTTTGTGTACATAGTGCAGATTAAATGCACATTATGCGTTATTCTTCATTGTTATATTTTGTATGTGGCTGGTATATGAATGTGCACATGCATGCTACATCAGTTAGACAATCTCATTTTTGTTAGATATATTCAAAACTCACTTTAAGCATTTTTTTAATATCTTGGGTTGAGCAAGAAGGCAATCAGAAAACAAATGCTTATGAGGAAATTAAGACTTGTTCTTTGATTAGAGGTTGTAGAAGTATACACAAGTACTAGACAGTCAAGGTCAACCTAAACTAACAGTGCTGATGTGCTGAATATCCTATTTTTTTTCTTTATACAGAGCAATAAAAAAAGAAGAACCCAGCAGTTTTATTGCCAATGCTTCCCTTAAGCTTTGTATTTTCCTATCATTATGATATGGGCTATGGACACTGTTGCAAAGGATCAAAGGTATGTAAGTCCGTCCTGTTCACACATAGAGCGAAGCTTAATACTTCAGATAATCTCTTACGGTTTTTAAATGGCTGGGAGGAAATTTGTAATAGATTCCCTCCTCTTTTTTCTTCTAACAGAAAATGTGTCTCTTTTTTTCTTCTCTGTTAAAATCAGAAATTTTCCCAGTTAAGAGAACTTACTCTACTTTCATAGCCTTTCCCTTCAGATAAGACTGTTTGTGATTTTCTCCTCTCATTTCAAAAAATTTGAATTCTAAGGCTATAAATACAGCTGAAGTAAGCACTGCATATTTGGGAGAAATGACAGGTCTAGTGATTTCCTTCCTTATTCCACTATCATGCTGCTGTTTTGGCAAGGGTTACAGATTATAAGAACAGACAAAGGGATACAGACAGGACTCATGTCCTTACGCCTCCATGTGCAAACACAGTTGTCAGCTGATCATCTTGTCACAGTGTGCTCTAAGACTGAAGAAACCTGAGTCCCAGAAAGTGGGATCTTGCCTCATAGTTGCCAGTGGTGGATCTGATTAAATTACGGATGTTGAGGATTAGGGAGGGGATATTCCACAACCTTAGTGTAAATAGAGATGGGAAGGTATTGATGCAGAAAGTAATATCTTCTGTGGAAATTTACATGTAAATTGGATCACTTATGTAAAAGAAATCTGGAATTATACTGAGGAGTTAAAATTATTAGGGAATGCCAAGACAAAACAAAGTGGTTAATTTGTTTAGCCTTGTAAAATGACATGGGAGATTCGGGTCTACAGATTATACTTACAGGATAGGAAATTAAACTAATTACCAATATCAGCACTAGACTAAGAGGAAGTGAACTAGCCTGAATGAATCTGGTCTGGAAATCAGGTTCAGGAGTTCATTCTTATTTGAAGATTAAAATAACATAGTTGAAGAGAAGGTTTTATGACACAGTTGATCTGCAGCCGCAATGACTGTTCTTAATACTCAGTTAATCCCTGTGTCTCCTCTCATATCTTCCCAACCGCTTCTCTGCTTGTTCACATAGTCTGTTGGCTCATGCCATGGCTCATCTTTCTGGTGTAATAATGAATGTATACACCATGCCCTTTATCGTTCCATCTTTGACTGGTCTCTTTCCTCCAGGGTATGCCTATCTTCAGCCTTGCAGTCTCCCTCTCCTACACTCATCTGCAGTTATTTCTGTGCTGCATAGTCAGCCTTGTATCTGAACCACCTTGATCACATGGGTGTACACCTGCTGTCCTTCATCCTTTGGAACTGGTTGGTAGCCCTGGAAGGTTTCTCTGTTTCACCAGTCATTTTTTCTCTGATCTAGTTTACGGTTATTTTTTCTTCTCTCTCTAGCCTACTTTTGCAAACGTTTTCTCATGACTTGAGTATTTTTCTCCATTGAAATCAGAGGGGTATTTTTCCCTGATCTATAGCTTGGGCTAATTAAAGCAAAAACTGAGGACAAAGGGGAAATCACTGGTTTTGAGTCCTGCTAGTGCTGTTGAAAAGCCTTAAGTGTGCCAAGGCCATGTATCAGAACTGAATCTTTTGGGGTTGGAAGGATTACGAAACAGCCCCCAGGTGCACTATCTTTTCTAAAAGGCTGAGGACACAAAGAATCAGTCATGGACCTGCTATCTGTGTTCTTGGCCTTGCTGTTTTGTGTTTCCTCTCAGTCCAGGAGCATACTGCTGGTGTTTTTCAGACAAATGATTAAAGGAGAAGAGGGATTATATAGCCAGCCTCCCACTGCACAGAACTTCCCCACAAAACAATTGAACTGTGGCTACTTTTTCCAACATTTAGATAGCTCAGTACTTGTATCCTGAGCCGTGTGAGAAGGATGGTGACTGGGCAATGTGCTCCAGTGCATGTGAATGACAGGCATAGAGATTTGCCTACCTACAACATCTGTCACCTAAGATCTCTTGCTATTTCATGATCAGATGCTATATGCAACTGACTGACATTATGGTATTACAAGTTACTGGGAGTGGTAACCAGTGTGGGATAATACAGAGGTCCCAGGTCCTGTACTGCTATCAAAATTGCAGCTGGAGATTTCAGCATTCAGATCTGTTTTAAAGAACGACCACAATCTTGACTGCATTGCAATATTCAGTCAGGCTTATTGCACATAAATACAGTTTCAAACCCCTGCCATAACAATTGTCAAGCTAGGAATTAAGGCATACGTAAACAAGATTGTTGGCATTGTACCAAATGGCATCAGACAAAACAAATGAATTCTTTGCCTCATCTCCATCATTTCTTATATCACAATCTGACCACCAAAACTTATGCATGATGCTCAATTCAATTTGTATCTTTGTTTTTGGATTCTCTGTCCTAGATGTTTCTATTCCAGCCTTACCCAGACCATTCTGCACCCTACAGCTTTTCCTTGCTATACTCTTAAGACTGCATGTTTAGGTAACAGCTTGTTTAAAAAATACATAGCTGTGGCCTGCTATTTTGTTATCCTGGTCCAAACAAGAATAGCTAAATCAGTCTCTTAATTTTTTTCCTTCCTTTGCTTTCTCACATTAAGGTTGAAGAAATGTACTTAATTTCTGTCTTGCCTTTTTTTTTAAGATGAAGCAGAGACCATACTGGACACAGAGACCACTTTGCTAGAATTGCCGAAAGGATCTATCACTTTTGAAGATCTGGAGAAAATCAGAAGATCGCAGAGCAAGTTCTTCATAGAAAAATAGGAAGATGTTATTAAAGCATCATATCTGAAGTGTGATTGTAATACTGGATTTAGACATAAATTAATAAATAAAAACTTAATAAAAAATATGAACTTACGCACAATCAAGATTTAATCAACTTTCTAAAATCAGTCCTTTCTAAAGCAATCTTATGTTTCTCTTCAAAATATTCACTGTTGCCATAGTGGGGGTTTTTTGTTTAAAATAGAATATTGAGTTTTCACTGTTTATTCAAAGTCTGTAAGTAACTTTCAAATGTAGTAAAAATGTCTGGCACTGACCAAACTAGGTATAATCAATAAGGATAAGTTAATTGGTAGTTGTAAATTCTTATAAATATGGCCATATATTTGAGGATGCACAGCTCAATTTGAAATCAGGAACAGACTGTCAATTTCTTTGAAAAATAAGACACTTTTTATTTGCTGTTCTTTAGGCAGTAAACTCACTGTCTTTGCCTCAAATTCTGGAATAAACAGCTTTTATCAGAAGTAGGTTGAGAAGTAAACACGTTGCTTCCTAACTGTGTTTTACTCTTAGGAAAAACTATGTTAAAGTATGAGCAGAGATAGTTTGTCAAAATGAGAAAACAAATTATATAGCTATTTCCTGAATCTTTTTCATGCTCATTTGACTTTCTGAAACTCAGGATAATTTGTTTACATGAAATCAGGGTTTCATTAATAAGATGAATATTAACTTAGGCTAACAGCAAGCAAAATTTCTAATATGTGTTTTTGTAATGAGTAGATCCAAGTGGCCTTACAAGTACTGAAAAACTGAGGGAATTTTTGCATGCCTTTACTTTAGCATGGTATATACTGAGAATATAATTTTGGTATAGTTTAATATTCTGATGTTACACTGGGAAAAATACATCTTTATATTGGAAATGTTGTTTAAAAATGAAGTATTTTGTGTTTTGGGTGAAAATTCTTGTAGCATTAGTCTAATCATGCAATGAAAAACAAATGCTTAAAAAGCACCCAGTGATGAATTAAGCCTATGTCTGTATTGACCATTTGTTCATTTAAAAATTAAATTCCATCTGGAGATAATGCCCCAGTTATGATTTTGAAGACTACTTGACTAAATTTAGAATATTATTACAGTAAGACAGGTAATTATATAATGAAACAAAAGCTTCTCAATGTTGAAGAAACTGATGTTTCCATAGCTGTGTAAGTTTGATTTCTGAAAGTGCATTCACTTCTGCATTCAGCCACTTCTGTAATTGGTTCTGTCATCTGCATGTTTACAATGCAGTCTGTAACAGGTTTCAAATGTGATGCGTTTTAATGTGCATTGTAATAAAATGCATTGTAATAGCTTGTTGGGTTAGAATGGTTTGGTCCACACTTCAGCTGTTTATTAAGACTGAAGGCAGTGAATGAGAGGAGTGCCTCAACTCAGCCTGTGGTGCTCTCCAGGTTCTGTGAGCTCACAGCATGAAGGTCAAAACCACCTCATGTCTTTGCCTGTCCTGTAACATAATCCCTCACCACTGGCTGCTATATTATATACTACTCCTAGAACATAAATACTCTGCATTCTTGTTTAGCTATGAAAAACAGATTATCTGTTCTGGTCATCCAAGTTCTGAAGTCCACCTTGCTTTAATTCTGAAGAGCCTACAACAGTCTTGTATGTATTGATCTCTGTAATCTATTGATACTTTCTTCCAAGAAAGAAAAACAATTAAACCAGCTGGTTTCAGTATTTGTACATCTTCATCCGTGCCTTTGAACCCACTTTTTAATCCTATGAAAGTCATTTTCACAAGAGAGCAGCCCATGCAGGAGTTTAAAGTAGAAATCCTTGGAATTTAGGAAATACCCTAATCCTATCCAACATGAATTGGGAATCAATATCTGTGTATTTGCGATAGATTGCTGGCTATGGTGTTGGATCAAAAGGAGGTGTTAAAGGCAGCAAGCAGCCTAAGCAAATAATGGCCCAGACAGCAGTTTTAGGAGATTGTAGGGTAGCTATTTATTACTCCATCCTAGCTAAATTTGATTTTTTCTCCCAAAGTTTGAACTTAGATCAATAATGTTAGTCCACTGCAAGTCTCCACACAAAAAAAAAAGCCAGTGACAGAAATGTGGCAAGGTTAATTCAGTATTACACAGTAAGTATCAGTGAAAGTTACCAAATCTATAAGGGAAAAGGAACAGGCTCTAAACAGGACAGTCTAAATCCAAACCCAGAAGTGGTTTTAAATGGGCTACATAGCATGTGCCAAAGATTGTCAAGACATTAAGGGTTAGTCACCATTATTGCCTTTGTTTTTTACTGTTAGCTTTGCTTCTTTTGTTGATAAATACATGCTTTTGTTTTGAAGATGCTCATTCTTTGTTACTGTGTTTATTCTACTGGCAGTAGAATAAACATGTGCCATGCTGAGTATTACCTGGCACACAGCAACAACTGTAGAGTAGTTGAATGGTATGGTTTCCTCCAGAGAACAACAAAAGAATTGTAGAAAGCTTTCTTTCAGTGACAAGGTCCACTTCAGGGAAATAGACCTTTACAGCACAAGTTGTCCATTATCATCATACCAGTTCTACTCAATATAAATAAATAAAACACCTAAACCATCCTTCTCCTTTCTGTCATTTGTGCTCAGCTGGACTCAGCTGTTAGACTTACTTTAATGTATCACAGCATCTGTCTTTGTTTCCATGAATCACTGGGGGAAAGGAGAATAACTTGAGGGGGAGCTTGTTCTGACCTGCAGGCACTACTTTTACCCCCTTAATCCTGTTCGTTTTTCTGGTTGTAATGTCTGATAGCAGTGTATCCTGAATCAGTCTCACTTGGAGCTGGTGTCTTCAGGAGAAGTGAGAAGTCACTCTGGGGTGTCCAGTTTGGGCCACAACAGGGAGAGCTGAAAATTATAGCCCCTTTCTAAACGTTTCAAAGTTACTTTATGAACATAACTGCACATTACTACTTTTAAAAGTAGAAGGGGAAAGGTCCTATGTGGACATATACAAACAAGATTGTTTCTTCATTATTATTTGTTTGTTTAGTCAGTCTTGGACTTCATTATGCAAAAATGCTTGGATTTCTTAATTTTTTAATTATTAGTTTTCTTAAAGTTAAACTGCTTTGTAAACTCCACAATCTGCTGATGCAGATAGCTGGATAACGCTGGTACTTGGTCACCAATCACATGGATCCAGTGGTATTTCCCATTTCTTGCAGAATTCTGTATGGTACTAAGCAAACTAAAACCAATATTTTAAATTCATATTTGGGCAGCTTTCAAAAACTAAATAGTTCTTGCAGCAGTGAATTGTATGAATTTGAATTGAAGGCTCTGGAAAAAGGCTAATGAAGTCTGTGCTGTTTCTGTCCTACTGCTGATCGTCTGTGTAGTTTGTCTGACATTTAGCATGGGAATAAGCCTTTCATTCAAGGTATTCAAGGCTATTGAGATATCATTTAAAGATATCTTTTTTCTTTAGCCACCAATTTTCATGAAACTTTCTCTGCCTTCCATAAACTTTGCTATTGCCCAACAGATTCAAAATTTAATGCAAGGGAGAGAAATAGTACAATTATCTTTACCTTGTCTTAGGACACTAAAAGATAAAAAATTGTTGCATTGAGCCAGTTCACTGGATGTACTTGTCTTGCAAGATCCTATAGATGATGAATGGAATTTCATTTCTTTGTTGTTGTCTAGTCTTCTTTATAAAACAAACAGTAAGAAGGTGGATAGTTCAGATTTGTTGTATTTAAATTACCAGTTTTCTTCTGCATGTTTAGTTTTGAATAGAAGTAGTTTCTCTAGCTATGATGAACAGGTAAACCTAGCCTCTGACTTGATTTAAATTCATGGCAAAGTATTGAAAGTTTGCCAGTCAAGCTTTTCTTATAAAATCCTGCGTGATTTAAAGTTAGATGACTAACATAGTAAGTTTCTTTATAACCTGCTACTCAAATCACAGCAGACAGAGTTGAAAGCCCTAGGTTGCAAAGGCATGTTACTGAAATATGTCTGGAGGAAGAATACTGAGCAACACACAAGCAGTACACCCTGCTGGTGAAACTGCATTAAGCATAGTAACAGTAAGCAATGTCAAGCTACTGCCAGCTTCTTCAGATATGATTCCTAATAAAACTCATTAACTCACTGCCTGTTGTTGCAGTCTTTAATCCTAGGAAGAGAGAATTCACAGCCTATGCTTTTCAACAAGAAGAGTGATGAGGTGTGCTGCAATGCAGGCTCCCCTGAGGAATTAAGAATGTATTGAAAAGGTATTCCCTTCAAGGTCTCTTTGACAACACGTGCTCTATCACCTACGAAGAAGCTTGAATAGGAAGCACAGAAAGCATTGTCTTTCACATACAGTAGCCCTGATGAGGAAGCAGGTGAGGTCAGAATAACTGTTTTCAACTATTTGTTTTCCTGTCTCTCAAGTGAGTAGCAGCTGCCATCAGAGGTTATGCACTTGAGACAGCTGGAAAAGAGGGGTCCTTGAAAAAGTACCCCAAAGGTGGTCATCATAATGTCTGCCTTTGTAACTGATGATTCACTTGCATTTGAAACTGAAGCACATGGACAGTCAGTAGTTTTCCTGCTAGACTGACATATCAGCTTGCTATCTGGGGACTTCTTTTGAAATTCCCTGGTAACAACTCTGAGAAAGACATATCTGACATTTTGATATATTTTATTAGTTTACAAGCTAAGACCAGGTACTGCCCCACTCAGGAGGTGCCTTCCTTATTATCTGGTCCTGGTAGTGCTTTTGCACATGACTGCAGCTTTCCAGTCACTGGAAACAATTCCTTCGTCTAGAAAACTACTTATAGTCCCCAAGTAAGTTCACCTGATGCGATGGGTATTTTCAGAAAACGTCCATGAGACCAACACAATCAAAAAATCAAGGTGCTGCTTTCTTTCTTTCAAAATGCAAGTTGTGATTACACCTATGCAACTGGTATGTAACAGAGTATCAGGTAAGACTTTGGCTGACTAGAAACAG